ATTGGAGAACACATAGGAAATGAGCAACCATAAACTGAAGTCAGTGTAAAGGAAGATTACCACTCCCAAGAAATTGACAATCTGAAAGAGACTATAAAATAAGTAAGTTTTTTAAATGACTAAAGAGATGAAATGGAGTCCTGGTGTGGTGCTGTAGGATAAGTCGGTTCATACCTACCAGACTGACACGCCTCAGAAAGCCTGCACAGGGTAGCTTTAAGTCAGAACCATCTTGATTGACAGCACTAACAACAACAAAGAGATAACATAAGGTAAAGAAACCATAGTAAAGAACAAGGTAACATCAAGAAAGAAACAGGCAGATTGTAAGACGTTCCAAACAGGCTATCTGGTAGCGTAGTGGTTACAAGGCCGGCTGCGAACCTCAAGGTCAGCAGTTTGAAACTACCAGCTGTTCTGTGGGAGAAAGATGAGGTTTTCTGCTCCCATAAAGATTTACAGCCTCTGAAACCCTATGCGGCATCGCTATGAGTTGGAACTGACTCCACGGCACACTACCACCACCACCAATTTAAATTAGGAGCTTAAGGGACAAGTTAAACATCAGTTCAGGCACAGATAAAGGAAAAATAAGTGAAGGTGAATATATAGCTGAGGAAATAAATCAGAATGAAGCATGGTTAAAGAGATTTTTTTTAAAAAAAGGTTGATAGACATGAAGGATAGAAGAAGTTTCTTCATGCATTAAATAGTATTTCCAAAGAAAAGACTAGAGAAAATGGAAGGGAGGAATATTAGAAGACTATGACAGAGTTTTCCAGAAGTGATGAGATACATGAATCCTAATTTAATGGTCCATGTTGTGGCATATTGTTCACTGTGTGGTGCATGGTTGGGTTCCAAGCTTGGAAAATGATTCTCAGTTACATTTCTCTGGAAACTTGTTGTATCATTATCACAAGACACCCAAGAGAAGGCTTTGCATTCCGTGTCTAGCTATAGACGCAGATTGACGAGTCGAAGGAATGAACCATCTTCCTTTTTCTCTGCTAATCTGCTTATGAAGGAACTGTTTAGAGCAGTTAAGCATTTTGTGCCAAGTCACACAAGTCACCTGGAAGTAAGATCCAAATCCAGGTAGTTTTCCTCAAGAGACTGCTGTTGTAAACACTGTGCATCCTGCTGGGGATCTAAGGTGCAAGAAAGGCGTCTTGAAACTCTGGGATCCTGTGATTCAAGATTCAGCAGCTGAATCCTGAATCAGAGGGACTGACCTGGCCTGGACCAATCATTTATTAATTCTTCAAACTCTATGGAGTACAGTCTGTATTCTGGTCCAATTCTGGGTCCTGGGATACTGAAAGGAACCAGAGAGTCCCAGATTCCCTGGAGCTTAATGCCTGGGAAGGAGACAGAGGAAAAATCCACAGTTACCATCTGGAGAGTTAAGTGCTGTGATAGAGATTGCCCAGGATGCTGGAAGAACATAGAAAAGTAGTATTTCAGCAAGTCTCCCAAACTCATGTTTTCCACTTAAAACGTAGTTCCTAAAAGCTCTCCAGAGCCCAAAGCAACTTTCATAACTCAGAAAGTCTTGACTTCGCTGTCAGTCTATGTGACCTTGATCAAGTTTCTCCTACCACTTGGAGCCTTTGGTTCCTTCTCTGTAGAGTGAGGGTGATGACAGTTATGTCATAGGGTTGGGAGGATTAAATGATGCATTCTTTCTAAAGCATTTAGCTCATGGTTGACGCTCAGTAAATTGTTGTTGTTAGGTGCCATTGGATTGGTTCCGACTCATAGCTACCCAAGCATAACACAACGAAACCCTGTCCAGTCCTGTGCCATGCGCATAGTTGTTGTTACGCTTGAACCCATTACTGCTGCCACTGTGCCAATAAATAGTAGCTGTGATTTATTGTCATCATTCATTTAATGGGAATAATTACAATGACACTCATCCCTGGCTCACCTTTCCCCAGACTAGCCTTCTCCCAAGCAGACATCCCTCTTCCACAGGAGGCAGCTTTTCTCAGGTGCCAGAGAGCTGAGGGTTTATAAAGAGGTAAAAATCTGGTTTCCAGAGAATGCTTCAGTGGTAAACAAGAGCCAGCAAGAGCTAATAAAATTTCAAATTAGCCATGACTTTTCACGGCCCTTCCATTGTGCTAGCTGATTTAATGGTCAACGCCACTGCTCACTGGGATTGAATAATGGAGCATTTCTGCGAAGTTAAGGATGCGGCAGCTAAATCTGTCATGCTAACATCAATAGCAGAATGCAAATAACCCTCAACTTGGGCTGTAATTATGTGTTTAAGCAATGCCTGACAGGGGCAGCCCAAGAATGTGTGATGGAGCTGCAGGCTTCAGAAGACAGGTGCTTTGCTAAGCAGTTGATGAATCTAGGAGAGTTGGGACAGGACAAGTTAGGGCCCAGAACAGTGCTGGGCTGAGGGGAGACCTTTCCCACACAACTCAGAGTAAATTTGGCAGGTGAGCACCCTTCACTTTGGTGAGCTATCTTCTAGACTCAGAGTGGGGAAGGGGAGACTACCATTATTAAGCACTTACTATGTGCCAGGTGCTATGCTAATTTTTAGGTGACAGTGCTATGCTTTTTATAGATTTAGAAAATTCCCACATGCCACTTACTCTTATTTCTCCCCTTTTCAGAGATATGGGGAACTCAGGCTTGAGAGTTTAAGTAACTTGTCCAAGGTCACAAAGTAGCAAGTTTTAGGTCCAGGATTCAACCCCAGACATACAGCTCTGGAGTCCATACTCTAGAATTTTCTGTCCTAAAGGAGGCTACAGAGATCCCTAATGGCACTGTGGGTTCAGTGTTGGGCCGCTAACCACAAAGTTGACAGTTCAAACCTACCAAAATCTCCGCAGGAGAAAAATAAGGCTGTCTGTACTCATAAAGTTTTATAGTCTTAGAAACCCGACCTAGGGTTACTATGAGTTGGAATATACTCTACACTGGTGGATTGATTTGTGTTTGGTCTACAGAAGACTGCAAGCATTTGGGCACTGTGGAGCACAAAGGATTTTTGTCTGTGATTTATTAAAGGGAAAAAAAAAAAAAGAAAAGAACTGGGTTTCAGAGATGTTAAGTAACTTGCCTAAAGTTACACAGCTAGGAAGAGGATCCAAGGCTCAGCCTCAGGTTGACCTGAAGCCAGAGGCAGTACACAGTGCTTCCCCTGTGGGTGAGGCTCAGAGTCTAATCAATGCATATGCAATACTCTGGTGGGTATCATCTATGTTGTAAGCTCCAGGAAGACAGAAGTGAGGTGAGAATATCAGTGTTGATCCCATGTTAATGAAGAAACAGTATCAGATCAGAGATGCCACCTACAAGACATTTTCTGGTGTCACTGTAGTGGCAGCACTGGGACTTGAACTTCGGTCTGAGCCTCATGCTTCTGCCATCATACCACACTGCTTAACTGAATGATAATGCAGTTGTCTGGCTTTTTTGGACTGGCATTTAGTTTCATCCCCCTCTTTCATGTGGTAATTAAGCGATTTGGTTTTCATACATTTATTCAGCAATCATTTGGTATGTGTCAGGCGCTCTCCTAAGTGGTGAGGATACAGCAGAGATGATGAGAACAGAGTCTGGGCCCAAGGGTGATGACAAGTTTGCCCAGAGTCACATAGCTACTAAACATTCCAGCCTGAATTTGAACCCAGGCTGCCGGCTGCCTACAAAGTAACCCTAGGCTTTCCGTGTCCTTGCGGCTTTTCTCACTTCCCAGTGCCCCTTGGGAAGACTCCTTTGCTATCAGGGTTTGTTATCCAGATTACATCAATTCCACTGGGTGCCTGTAAGAGCACTTTCGGGTAAGAATACTAAAACTCCGTGGTCTGCTCAGTCCCTTTCTTTGTACTCTGGGAAGTGAGAAGAGCCGTAATGTAATTTTCAGTCCTGAAGACATCCATCCATGCGGTAAAGAGAATTCCCTGCTAATGGCAACTGGGCCAGAGATCTAAAACCATCCAGCACTGAGGGGGCACTAATATTCCCTAGACTCCCTCTCTGAGAAGGCAGAGCCAGGTCTCCAAAGGGTCAGGAACAGTACTTCAGGTCCCACAATTGCAGTGCAGTTGGGAGAGATGTTGAGAATTACAGGACCCTCATCCCACTACTTCCAAAGCAACCAGGTCTTAATTTTTACTTCTTAAATGTCTTCCCAAAATATGTACTACTACTCTGCCTCCTCTGTTACTACCCCAATCTAAGCAAATTTTTCACCTGTGCAACCTCAGCCACTCCCTGTGTTCCCGAACTTTCAAGTGGGCCCCCTTCTGCCCATTTTCTGTATTGCAAGAGATGTTGTTTCCACAATGCCTATCAGATACACCTTTCAGTGGTAGCAGCAAAACTTGTCCTGAGGGTAGAATGCAAACTCCCTAACATGACCTACAAGGTCCAGCATTCTCTGCTCTTGTTGACCTGGGCAGCGTTGTTTGTGCTGTTTTCTTCACCCTCCACGTGCCAGCATTTGAATTTAATGACTCAAATGATCATGTTCTCTCACCTTTGGACCTTCGTATATACAAGTTCCTCCTCCTTCATATAAGGAGCTCTGGTAGCATAGTGGTTACGAGTTGAGCTGTTGATCTCACAGTCAGCAGTTTGAAACTATCAGCGGCTCCACAGGAGAAAGATGAGGCTTTCAGCTCCCGTAAAGATTTACAGCCTCAGAAACCCTATGCAGGGTTGCTGTGTGTCAGAACTGACTCCATGGCACATAACCACCACCACTCCTTCATATATACTGTTTATTTGAGTGTGTTTGTGTGTGGATATATACAAATACACAAACACATAGGTACACATGCACTTATTTGGTCTGTTTCCCCTATAGGACTGGTGGGCTGGGACTAGATCTGAATTACCTTGATTTCCTCAGGCACTTGATAAAGTTTGTTCAATGACGAGGTAAATAGAGAATAAATGAATCAAAAGATTCTGGACCAACGTGACTGAACACAGCACTATAAGCAAATGCTCTGTCATCCCTGTAGATGGCTTGGTGGACTGCATGGACCCCGACTGCTGTCTCCAGCCCCTTTGCCACGTCAACCCTCTATGCCTGGGCTCCCCAGACCCTCTGGACATCATCCAGGAGACACAAGCTCCAGTGTCCCAGCAGAATCTCCATTCCTTCCACGACCGCATCAAGTTTCTCGTGGGCAGAGACAGCACACACGTCATACCTGGAGAGAACCCCTTTGATGGAGGGTAAGTCTGTCTGGCCCTGGCTCTGACCTTGGCTCTCTGAAGGAGACCAGAATCACCTGGAAGGCCAGGTTTGGGTGGAGGAGGGCAGAATCAAAGGTTCCTGATGGGATGTCAGGGTAGGCAAAGAAGCAGCCTCTGGTAGTCATATATAGAAAACTGCTATCCAAGGCATTGGGAATTTTTATGAGGCAAGTTTTGCTGCTCCCACTGGGTGATAGATGGAAAGAGTGAGAAATCAAAGGTCCAAGGGGAATCTTGGATCAATACTCACTTTGCAGTCAGCTCTTACTGATCCTGCCGTCTCCAGATGAGCTGGAAGGCTTTGACACTCCTCATTCTGCGAGCTGATGTCCGGAAGCTTTTGCTAGGCTGAGGTGGGGGGTGGGGGGTGGAGTGTATGTGTGTGTGTGTGTGTGTGTGCGCACATCTGCTGGGATCCCAGGTCATATGCCCATATACCTTTGTCTTTTTCAGTTGTATCATCTATTGGGCTAATTTTTACTGACAACTACTCTCTTGTGAGGCAGTGGATTAAGTAATCACAAGGTTGGTGGTTCAAACCTACCAGTCACTCCATGGAAGAAAAATGAGGCTTCTATTCTTATAAAGACTTACAGTCTTAAAAATCCTATAGAGCAGTCCTGCTCTGTTCTATAGGATTCCAGAATCAACTGGACGGCAGTGAGTTTAGTTTTTGGTACTCTATACCAGTCCTGGAGTGTAGCACTGTGGGTTAATGCACTGGAGTGCACAGTCAGTTTGAACTGCCAGGGCAGTGGTTCAAGTTCACTAGCCACGCCTCGGAAACCCTATACAGGATCAGGGAGGGACCAATTCGATAATACTTAACAACAACAACATATCAGTCCTTGTGCTGGGATCACAGAGAATATGAGCACACAGTCCCTGCCCATTGGTCACTACAGTCCAGTTGTGTGACCAAAAGAGGGACTGTTAGAGTGTGGACTGATGGACCAGAGATTTGTTCCCAACATACTCAGGGAACATGGTGCTCCTGGGTAGGAAGAATGCCAGGGTGGTTTCTGAATTGAGTTGTAAAGACAAGAAATCGTTAGCTTGGCAATGAAAGGAAAAACATATTCCAGATAGAAGGAGTAGCTAACACAGAGACCCCGAGGCAGGAAAGTACATAGAGCCAGTGAAGGCTAGCTCTCTCTTCTCTGGTCTCCACATTAGAAGCTGTGCAGTAAAAAGTGGTATCCCAAAACAAAGAATTCTTAATTGTTTATTTGGAACGTCTTCTAATGTAGCAATGCCTCACGTATGCAGAGCTTTCAGCACAATTCGATTCAGCAGTCACAGATTTTATGTCTTCCATGTGTGTGACTTCTGTGCTGGAGAGTATGAGGGAACAAAGATGATCAAGTCCTGGCCCCTGCCCTAAAGAGGACTAAGAGGATGAGGGATATCTGTAAGCTTATTTAAAGAGAAAAACCTGCAAAGTTTGGTAACTGTGTCTGATTGATGCTGGAGAGAGGACTCTAAGGTGGCATTATCAATATTACTTAATTGTATACTGAGGATTCAGGGTTCAGAGAGGTTAAATCACCTGGTAAAAATCACATGACAGATTAGTAGTAGAAGCAGGAGTAGAAGTCAGCTAGCTCCCAAATCATTATTTATATATCTGTCATCTGCAGTTAAATTACATACACTTTGAAAGCAGAGGCCATTCATCTCTCCAAACCCACAGTACTTAGAGCACGGCTTCGAATATAGTATTTTCTCTACAAGTGAATGGGTAATGGTATTTTCCAAACTATTGCTGGAAAGCTTCCTTTGGCCTAATATATGCTGAGTCACTATATTCCTGCTCTTCACTGATGTAGATTCAGAAGAAAAAGCTATCTATCGCTGCTATGTATTTCTAAACAGATTCCTATAAAAACCACCACAAGTGAATGGAAACAGCGTATGAGGCAACATATGTCTTTTTCATCAGGTTACCTACTTAGCGTTCCATCATCTTCATCTTGACCAGTGGTACAGTGCTTACTTTATCAATGGATAAAGTAGACTCAGTCAGCAAGTTTGACTTATCTCCTGTCATCTGAGGGACCACAATATAATAGAAAATGCCCAGAGTTTGAATCCTGACTTTACCTCCTGCTAGCTATGTGTGACCAAACGGAAGTGATTTAAGCTTTGTACAGATGCTGCCAATTATAAATGGGCTCTTGTTTTCATAAAGTGCCATTGTGTCAGTTCCAACTCATAGCTACCTGCCTGTATAGGGTTTCCAAGGCTATAAATCTTTGCGAGGGCAGAATGCCTCATATCTCTCCTTTGCAGTTGGAAGCTGGAAGTGTCCAGCTTCCAGTTCTGCTGGTGGGATGGAACCACCAACCTTGTGGTTCGTACTCCAGTGATTACCCTACAGAGCCACCATGCTCTACCAAATGGGCAATAATTATTTCATAAAAGTTGCTGAAAAGATTACCTAAAATAAATCACTGGACACAATGCTTGGGGGTGGTTGTTGGTTGCCATCGAGCTGATTCCATCTCATAGTGACCACTTGTGTGCAGAGTTGAACTGTTGCATGGGGTTGTCAAGACTGTGATCTTTCAGAAGCACACCGCTAAACCTTATTGCAATGTGTCTCAGGGTGGATTTGAACTAACCAACCTTTCAGTTAGCAGTCCAGCACTTAACTATTTGTGCCACCAGGGACTCTCAACGATTGCTACATGATAGGTAGAGGTAGTTATTGCTGAGTTGTCACAAGCTTTGAAGTCAGATAGATGTATGTTTAAATTTTTCATTGCATCCCCAAACTAGCTACATGACCTTGTTAAATTCCTTAACTTATCTGAGCTCCACTTTCCTCATCTATAAGGTTTAGGGTAATGTTACATTTAAAAAATGTTTATAAAGTCACAACATAGTACCCACCACACACACACTGCTTGCTAATTACATGATGGTGGTGGTGGTAACATCAGGAAGAGCTTCCAGTTCTGTTGCCTTATTGAAATTGAAACTTGAAAGTAACCTGCCCTCTAGCAGAGTCCACCATCCGCCCTGAGAGGAATAAGGTTTAGATCATTCTTTCAGGAAAGAGAAAAGCAGCATTTACCAGCCAGCTTGTACTGCGGATACTTATTAGAAATCCAGCGACTCTTCTCCACAGTGTGGAATGGCTGATGGGCTGGCAGACTTGATGGCTGTGTGTAACAAAAACATGATCCATACCTAGAAGGTAAAGCCCTGTGCTCTTCTGCATCCATGTGCTGCTCCATAATTTGTATAGTCTGTCTAAGAAGCAGGCCATCACCCAGAGACCCAACAGCATTTCTGAGGCCATCAAGGAAAGGTAGGCCCCAGATGCCCCTTCACTCTGCAGATGCCCAGTGGAGTATCAGATTCAGAGAAGCTTGAGTATGAGGCATGCTGGAAACTCAGCCACCTGGGCCCATATGAGAGAGAGGAATTTAAAGCCAGGAGTTGGAGCTAAGTGAGGAAAGCAAGCAAACCAGCCTTCAATTCCCAAGGCTCCCCAAGCATTTATTTCCCCAGAAGTCCAGCCCTATGTCTGGGATGAGGATACAGGGCATTCTCTGGGGCAACAAATGGCACCAGGAGTTGTGTGAATGGTGCCTTTTGCTTCTATGCAGCATCCAAGCTCATGCCAGAAGTACTAGAGCAGGGGCATCCCTGCTCTAGCAAGGAGGAAGAACTCCCCAAGATGTGAGGGGCTCTGCTAAGCAGAACAGGTCTGAGTCAGGCTCCAAGGGGGAAACCACAGAGCTTGGGGCAGAAGTATTGCCAGATGGGCTTAGAATGAGAAAGGCCTCCCTCAGGTGCCTTTTCTGGTTCATCTGTGTCCAGGCACAATGCCTGGCCAAGAGTAGGTATTTGTATATGTAGATGTAATGAGTATAGTGGTGCTAGCTGACATTCTGCCATTACTACCCTCACCTTGACGTAAAATAATTAAGGCATAAATCGCCTGACCTCTTGAAGTCCTGGTGTGGCCTTGGAAACCCTATACAGGGTCGCTATGTGTCAGAGCCAACTCAACGGCACTTAACAATAACAAGATGACCTGAGCAGACCTAAAGTAGAAAGGGACTAGACTTAAAGTGTGCCTTGAAGATCCCCGTCTTTTCCTTGTCTGGAGACCTGGATGCTTATCTGCCTAGTGAAACCCCTCACCTAGAATCATGAATATAAAGCAGTGTCACTTAATACAGAGAAGAGGATTCACTGAGGTCCTTACACTGAGATCAGTTATTGTTACTGTTGTTGTTATGTGCCATGTAGTCGGTTCTGACTCATAGTGACCCTGTACAGAGTTTCCAAGGCTGTAAATCTTTACAGGAGCAGAAAGCCTCATCTTTCTCCCGTGGAACAGCTGGTAGTTTCGAACTGCTAACCCTGAGGTTAGTAGCCCAATTCATGACCACTACGCTACCAGAGATCAGATATTAGGACCTTGAAATGCAGAGCTTGGGATCAGATAGCAGGGAAAAAGAGGTCAACATGATAGAATCTTCTAGAAAAACACTCAAGGTAGAGCCAAAGCTCTTTCCCACTGTTGGTTGTATCTGTACTCTTAGGAAGAACTTGTCGTCATTTGTCGTTAAGTGACGTGGAGTTGGTTCTGACTCATAGCGATCCTATATAGAGTTTCTGAGGAGCAACTGGTAGGTTTGAACTGCCAATCTTGTGGTTCACAGTTCAGTGCTGATCCTACCGCAGCATACCAGGAGCCCTAATCAGGGTTAAAGAGTTGGAGGGGGGGCAGATAGAGTTCCCCAGTGAGTAGGTGCAGGTTGCCAATTTATTTTAATATACAGTGGGTTAGCAGTATTATAGATACAGGAAGAGATTCTGACAAAAGCGCTACCCCCAAGCTATTTGCGTATCAGTTCAGCATATCTTTGAGAACAATTGGTCAGAGAAATCATATGGCATTGCATTGTACGGTGACAGCTCACTCAAGAAAGTGGGTGGGCATGGAGAGAGAGAGTCAG